TTTTTTTTTTTTTTCCTTCCCCCTTTTCTTTTCGTTTTGAAGGAAACTGTAACCAAGAGTTAGATCCCGTCTCTGAGGGAAGCAAGTGAAATGCCATTTAAGAATGACATCCCAAGGGATGTGCTCAATGAATTAAGCTCGATAAAATCTATCCTGGAAGACATAAGACAAATTCCCACAATGATAACAACACACAGGGAAGCCTGTGAAAGCCAAAACCTGTGTAAGGCAGAAAAACCTGTCAAAGACGTAAAACACAAGTACTTTCCACTAACAGAGAAAACTTGTGAGGGCCAGAAAAACTAGGCAATCCCACCCAGTTTCGCCGGCCTCGGTGTCACTAAATTACCACAACAGACTAGCTGAGGCTATTTACGAGCCAGGGATGAGCCTCCACGCTGTTCCCAGAATGCACGTTCCATGTCCACATATCATGAGTTTACGAAGCAAAGACTGAGCAGGTTATCCTTCTGTTTCCACCAGAACTACACTGTAAGCCTGGATCACTTCTGGTGATGGTTATCTTGTTGTGTGCCATCGAGTTGGTTCTGGCTCACAGAGACCCTGAATAGGGTTTCTGAGGCTGTAAATCTATGCAGGAGCAGAAAGCCTCATCTTTCTCCCGCAGAGCAGTTAGTGGCTTGAACTGCTGCTTTTCCTACAGCGCCACCAGCATGATTTCTAACAGTCCTAGACCTACAGTTTCAGCTTGTATTCTATTCTTGAAGGTTTCTATGGGAAATGGCATGAACTGAGGTCCACCTGACTGGGCTAAGGTTCACGACGGTTTGGCAGTTCTGTGATGATGCAATTCTCCCCCCAATGAATTGTTGTGATATTGTGCAGTGAGTCCACAGCAAGAGCCTTGGGTGGGATGCAGCTCCATTTCTCAGGTCCCAGTCCTGGTCTGTTGTCAGGGGAGTTTCCCTGCGCCACGCCCTGCAACACCTTTTATCTCACAAGAAATAAAGGAGAAGTGAGCAGAGCAGTAAAGGCCTCAGTTCCACCAAGAAAGAAGCAGCAGGAGTGGAGTGCGTCCTTTGGGTCCTGGGTCGCTGTGCTGAGAACGGCCTAGATCCAGGAAAGACTGATGCCAAGGCACCTGGAGCTCTCCAGGGAATGCTGGGCCACACACGGTGAAAGGAGACAAGAGAGAAAGCCTTCTCCTAAAGCTGGTGGCCTGAGTGTGGGCTTCTGGGCTCCTAAATTGTAACTGTTTATGAAAGCCATGCACTTGTGGTATTTCTGTGATAGTAGCACTAGAGAATTGAGTCAGAAAGTAAAATATTTTGTAAGATTTTTTAATAAGCCTACATTCTAGATGTTTCCATATTGATCTCAAATCCAGTCAAGTATAAGGCACTATAATGTTTTCAAAGTGCATATGAATAATGTATTTTGAACTTAGATGTATGTCTGTCTACCTTTCTGAGGCGCCCTAATATTAATGATAACTCATTAGTCTTATAAGTCAGAAGAATGCTATTTAGACAATTTCTGAACTTAGACACAGGGACACAGACGTCTACGAAGTATATGTTGTTGTTGTTATGTGCTGTGGAGTTGGTTCCGACTCATAGTGACCCTGAATAGGGTTTCTGAGGCTGTAAATCTTTATGGGAGCAGAAAGCCTCCTCTTTCTTCTGTGGAACAGCTGGTAGTTTCGAACTGCTGACTGTGAGATTAGCAGCCCGATTCGTAACCTCTATGCTACTAGAGCTCCTTATGAAGTATATAAAGAGTGGAAATAACATTCAAGTTCACTTCGACCCAGCATGCTGAGATACAAGAAAACGTAACATAAATCTAAACCTGCCTAAATGTCTAATCTTGAAGAGAAGATGAGTCAAGCTACTCTCTAACCCTGGAGAAAAGACACAACATGCTTGTCTTGTATGTCATGCCAGGACTCCTAACAACACATATAAAACCTGAATTTCTGCTCACTCACTGAGAAGACAGACATGGAACTGAGATTCTGTCTGCCACCACTGACTTTGGACTCTAACTATGAGGAATCTTGGCTGAGTTCCAAGTGTAGGTAAGCCTTCTACCTGACCCCGCTCATTAAAGGTAATGAAGGTAAAAGCCTAAATCTAAAGAACTGAACTCTAGCCATCCAACACTGTAATTGTGGATTCTGATTCTCTGGTTCTAAATGACTTTTATGAGGTCTTGTCACGACTCTCTTGCAATAAACTTGATGAGTTTATGCACAGTGAACCTGAGTATTTTTCTCATTTTTTACGATATTAACAGCTCACACTACAGCTTCTTTAGTTGAGTTTTTAAAATTCCGCTTCCATTCTGGGTTACTTAATGGAAATAATTATTTAAAATAGAGTAAATCCAATAAAACGTAATGAATGAGGCAGTTTAAGTAGGTGGTAGATTAACTCAAGTGGCTGGGTCTGAATGGAAAAAAATAATTTCACTAAGAAAATTGATATACATTAAAAAAAAAAGAAAATAATCAGTGGTGTAATGAATTAGTTAATAATTTACTTAATCTCTTCTAACCTGTCTTGTAACTCCCACCAAATGACTCTTTTCTTGATTGGTCTGGGTAAGAGAAGGTGGGAGAAGATACTTATAGGATGTGATTCTGTTGTAAATGATTGTTAGCTGGGCTAATTGTGAATATAAAAACTTGGAACCCTAAGGCAAAGATGAGGACAAGGAGAGATAGAGCAGCTGAGGGCTCTAGACTCATGGAAAGAGAAAGGCTGTGTGCTGGCAGCCAGGAGGCAGGCTTGCAGAATGTGCCCTTTGGTTGTTTAAGTGATTATATATGCCTGAGTGTTTTTGTGTCCATCCTCCCAGCAACCCCCCCCCCACCGCCCCGGCAAAAAAAAAAAGAGGGACTAGAAGCAAGTACTGTGAATGGTGGAGGGGACTGTAATCATTGCAATGAAACTGAGTGCATAACTGTTGTTCTCGCAGGTAAACTATCACTCAATTCACAATAAAAAAACTTTGAAAAAAACTCAGAACTTTGGGACCCTAACATGGGAGCATAAAAAGTCATCTCAGAAGCAGGATGGGGGAATCTCATCACTACCACAGCTTTCTGTCCCTGTGATACCAGAGGAGGGGCAGAGGGGCAGCAGCAGAACTGAGAGATAGAGCAGTGGGCTTCCCGGTCAACTGGAGGAGCTAGAAGGTTTGCTGACACGCAGAGTTAGAGCCGCATGCTTCAGGCTGAGGCTTACAGTGGAGCTGGGAGCCCTGTGAGCTCTTTATCAGCAACCCTAAAGCACCTTTAAGAAGCTCTGGTAGCGTAGTGGTTACGAATCGGGCTGTGAACCTTAAGGTCAGCAGTTCGAAACTACCAGCTGCTCTGTGGGAGAAAGATGAGGCGTTCTGCTCCCGTAAAGATTTACAGCCTCGGAAACCCTGTACAGGGTCGCTATGGGTCGGCACCGACTCGACGGCACTTAACAACAACAACAACAAAGCAGCTTTGTAACATTGTCAGAGCAGGGCAGAGGCAGAACCAGGAGGCCGAAGGCTAGAGAGAGGCCTGCCTGGGGGCCTGGCTGAGGAGAGGCTGTCCTGACGGAAATACCTGTGCCCTGAGCATGTCCTGATCCTGCATGTAACCTGTTCACTTCCCTAGTAAACCCCCTAACTGTGAGCACAGTGTCTGAGCTGTGTGTGGTCACTGCAATGGATTACTGAGCCAGGCTGAGTACAGAGTGCTATGGGAGGCGATGGTGGGCGTTATTTTTTGCAGTGAAGCTTAATACAACCAAGGCTCATAGGTGTGTATTATAATAGTTGTTTTCTCATTACAACTCAGAGGATGGCTCAGGATTTATTGTCTTAGTCTCAATGTCTACGTGATGTTCAACGTGGATGTCTGGTAATCCACAACTAACTGTGACCTATAGGTAAGGGTGTCCGTTTTCTTATCACGAAAACCAGGGGACTCAATCCCTACCACCCCATTAGTTAAGGAAGGTGGGGAAAAGTAATTCTAATCATTCAAATTAGTTCAGCTGAAATAGCAATAGTTTTCCTAACTATTCTCTTGCAACTAGTTTAACTTGCTTCTGATTTGTGGTGTGGCTCTCTGGGTTAATGCGCCAGACTGTAAAGCCATTTGAACTGCAAGATTGGCGGTTCAAGCTCACCAGGTACTCCTTGGAAACCCTATACAGGGTTGCTATGGGTCAGAATTGACTCGACGGCACTTAACAACGACAACATTAGTGGGAACAGTGAAAATAATCATAGAAAAGAATGGAAATAAGTTAAAAATACTTAAATAGTAAATGTTTCCCCATACTCTCATGTAGTCTGATTTACCCTACAGAAATAAGCTTACTTTACAATCTCTCTAACATGGAATTACACGTCACATTAGATCTGAATTCCCTTCTCTATAGCCTCACATGCTACCAGGAGTCAAAATCAGATCAGTTCCAGGACAGCTGGTCTAAGGAGGCCTGCAATAAAGCTAAACTCTTACCCACAATGACACATAAGCCACAGCACTCTCAAATTACTATGGGCACAGGAGATGTAAAGGTAACCACTTTCTGCCTTAAATTGGGTTATTTTCACTGTCTTAGCCTGTAAAACTATGAGCTTCTTGGAAGCAAGTGCTCAGACTCATCTCCATAACTTCCCTCCCTCCACTATGCAAACAACACATAATTTTTGAGTCAATGATCACTAGTAGAAGTAGTGACATTAAAAGTTCTGCTAACGTCTTCCAACCATAATTACTAATACAACAATTAAGTTAGCAGATCTGAGTCCTCTGCCTACTGCATACTTTGAGGGCTTGTAGGAGTCATGCAAGGAAAACATGTTTTGGTAAATACAAGAGATCAACGAACTTGTGAGCACTCTTCGATGAGGAGATGTTGGGACATGCAGTGCGTTTGTGACCTAATTCACCACAAACAAAGCAGCCGTCTTTAGGGCCCTCGCAGCAATGGTCTGGAACAGCACAGTGATTGCAGATGGTACAGTGGATCCAGGCTGTAAGATAAAAACTCAGTTTTAGAAGAAGCTCGTTTATTATTTCTCATTTCCCTGACTTTGAAGATAAGAAAGCACACATAGTGTTTACGTCAATATTGTGATTAATGTGCATATATGGTTGTAATTTGGCTAGAGAAAATGAGATAAAGAGGTTTAAGTAACACAGAAGTTAGCTAAGTTTTACCTGTGACACGGCAACAAATTCAGCCCTTCTCCAATATGCTACCAGTCACAGAAACAATGGGGCTGGCCAAGTAACTTGTTTGTTGTTGTTAGGGGCAATTGAGTCAGGGCGAACTCACAGCTTGTCATTGTTGTTATGCACAACAGAACAAAACACTGCCCAGTCCTGGGCCAACCTCACAAACAGAAATCTTTCAACAAACTGATGCAGCACTGGAGGTGCTCAGTAGTCTACCTCAAGAAATTTGAAAGACAGCTAAGTGGCCAGCTGATTGAAAAACACCCATATTTGAGCCATTCCACAGAAAGGTGACCCAGAGAATGTGGAAATTATTGAACAGTATCGTTAATACTAAATGCAAGTAAAAGTTTGCTGAAGATCAAGCAAAAATGATTGTAGCAGTACATCTACAGGGAGCTGCCAGAAATTTCAAGCTGGATTCAGAAAAGGACGTGGAACTACGGGTATCACTGCTGACACCAGGTGGGTCTTAGCTGAAAGCAGAGAATACCAAAAAGATTTTGTGCTGTACTGACTATGAAAAGGCATTTGACTGTATGGATCATAACAACCTATGCACAACATTACAAAGAATGGGTATTCCAGAATACTTAATTGTGCTCACGATGAACCTGTATGTAAACCAAGCGAAAGTTATTAGAACAAAACAAGGGGATTGATGTTGATGTTGTCAGGTGCCATTGAATTGATACTGACTCACAGCGACCCTGTGCAAAACAGAACGAATCATTGGTCCGGTCTTGGGAGACCTTACAATCGTTGCCACGTCTGAGCTCATCGCTGCAGCCACTGTGCCAATCCATTTCAGTGGGGAGTTTTCCTCTTTTTCGCCAACCTTCCACTTTACCAAACATATCCTTCTCCAATGACTGGTCCCTTCTGATAATATGTCCAAAGTATGAGAGACAAAGTCTGGACATCCTGGCTTCCAAGGAGCATACTGGTTGTATTTCCTCCAACACAGATCTGTTTGTTCTTTTGGCAGTCCACGGTACGTTCAATATTCATAACTCAAATGCATCAATTCTTCTATGGTCTTCCTTATTCACTGTCCAGCTTTCACAAGCATTTGAGGTTACTGAAAATACCATGGCTTGGGTCAGGAGTACCTTAGTCCTCAAACTGACATCTTTGCTCTTCAACACTTTAAAGAGGTCTTGTGCAGCAGATTTGCCTAATGCAATAGGCCATTTGATTTCTTTTTTTTAATGTTTTATTGTGAATTATGTGATAGTTTACATGGGAGAACATTAGTTTTACATTCATTCTATCATATATCGTTTTACTGTTTGATTTCTTGACTGCTGCTTCCATGAGTGTTGCTGGTTGATCCCAAGCAAAATGAAGTCTTTGTATACTCCAATCTTTTCTCATTTATTTGAATGCTAGTTACTGGTCCAGTGGTGAGGATTTTTGTTTTCTTTACATTGAGGTGCAACCCATACCGAAGGCTGACATTTGATCTTCATCAATATTTTACGTTCTTTTCACTTTAAGCAAGTAAGGTTGTATCACTTGCATATTGCAGGTTGTTAATGAGTCTTCCTCTAATCCTGACGCTACATTCTACATTGCAGCTTCTTGAATTATTTGCTCAGTATATAGACTGAGTAAGTATGATGAAAGAATATAACCCTGGCACACACCTTTCCTAACTTTAAACCAATTGGTGTTCCCTTGTTCTATTCGAACAACTGCCTCTTGGTCTATGTACAGGTTCCTTTTAAGCACAAGTAGGTGTTCTGGAATATCCCAATTTGCAATGTTATCCATAGTTTGTCATGATTCACACAATCGAAAGCCTTTGTGTCATCAATATAGTACTGGTATTCACTGCTTTCAGCCAAGATCCATCTGATGTCAGTAATGAGATCCCTTGTTCTGTTTCTTCTGAAACCAGCTTGAACTCTGGAAGTTCTCTGTCAATGTAATATGTTTGCAACTGTTTTTATATTACCTTTAGTAAAACTTTACTCACATGGGATATCTATGATATTGTTCAATGATTTCCACATTCCACTGGGTCACCTCTTATTGGAATGGGCACAAATGTGGATCTCTTCCAGTCAGTTTGCCAGGTAGTTGTCTTTCAAACTCATAGCTACCCTGTATATAACAGAACAAAACACTGCCTGGTCCGGCATCGTCCTCAGGACCCTGTGTTTCAGCCCATTTTTGCAGCCATTGTGTCAATCCATCTCATTGCGGGGCTTCCCCTTTTTTGATTTACCAAATATAATGTCATTCTCCAGTAACTGGTCTCTCCTGATGTAACATGTCTGAAGTACATGAGACAAAGTCTCACCATCCTGGCTTCTAAGGTGCACCCAGCTATACATCCAAGACAGATTTGTTCTTCGGGTAGTCCATGGCTGGGTCATGACTTGGCTGGGTCATGATCTTCAGAGGTTTGGCAGTTATGCAATGATGTAATGTGATGGTTCTCCGTGATCTGGTCCTATGCATGCTGAAATACCCTTGATCCAATCACTTACCCTATCCAATGTAAGGGAGATGCTACATCTTTTCTCTTACAAGAGATAAAAGGAGAAAGAGGGACCTGCTAACAACGAGAAAGAAGTGCCAGGAGTGGACTGTGGCCTTTGGACCTGGTGTCCCTGCACGGTGGCTCTCCTAGAACTGTGGAAAGCGTGATGCCAAGACACATGGAGATCTCCAAGGAACACTGAGCCTACAGAGGCTGAGAGAAGCCAAGGCCCCATCCCAGAGCCCATGCTCTGAATTCAGACTTGGAGCCTCCTAAACTGTGAGAATAAAATCCTGTTTGTTACAATCCTCAATCTGTGGTATTTCTATTATAGTAGCACTACAGAACTAATGCAGTGGTACAGTCAACATTCCTGCCAAAACGAGAACTCAAACACCTCAATTCTTCCATCTTCCTTATTCACTGTCCAGCTTTCCCATGCGTAGGAGGAGACTGAAAATACCATGGCTTGAGTCAGGCACACCTTACCCTTCAAAGTGACATCTTTTCTTATTTAATGATTGAACAAATGCTTTTGTGGCAGATTTGCCCAATGCAAAACGTCCTTTGACTTCTTGACTACTGCTTCTATGGGCATTGCAGATCCTAGAAAATGAAACCGTACATAACTTTAATCTTTCCTCCATTGATCATGATGTTGCCTGTTGACCCCATTGTGAGGATTTTTGGTTTTTTTGTTTTATAGTAAAGGTGTAATCTACACTGAAGGTTGTAAGCTTTAATTTTCATTAGTAAGGGCTTTTAGCATGTAAAGATGTGTGATCTGCATATTGTGTAGCTTCTTAATGAGTCTTCTTCCAATACCGATGCCACAATCTTCTTCATAGATTCCAGCTTCTCAGATCTGCTCACCATGCAGACTCAATACGCATGGCTAAAGCATGCAACCTTGACACACATCTTTCTTGATTTTAAACCACACGAGTATCCCCTTGTTCTGTTCAAACAACTGCTTCCTGCTCTGCATTCAGGTTCTGTAGGAGCACAATGAGGTGTTCTAGAATTTCCATTCTTCACAATGTAATCACAATATGCTATAGTCCACATAGTGGAATGCCTTTGTATAGCCAATAAAACACAGGTAATCGTCTTTATGATATTCTTTGCTTTCAGTCAATATCCAATCTGATATCAGCAATGATATCCATCATTCCATGTCCCCTTCCAAATCTAGCTTGAATTTCTGACAGTTCCTAGCTGATGTGCTGCTACAACCATTTTTGAGTTACCACCAGAAAACTTTTACTTGTATGTGATATTAATGATAATGTTCGATGGTTACTGCATTCCATTGGGTCACCATTCTTTGGTAAGGGTATGAAAATGTTGAAAATGCATCTCTTCTAATCGGCTGACCTGGTAGCATTCTTCCAAATTTCTTGGTATTGATCAGTAAGTTCGTCCATTGTTATAACCATCTGTTGAATCATTTTAATTGATATATCGTCAACTCCTGGAGTCTTGTTTTTCTGTGTGCCAAAGCCTTCAGTGCACACTGGACTTCTTCCTTCAATACCACTGGCTCTTGGTATTGAAGAGGCATATGCTACCTCTTGAAATGGCTGACTGTCAATCAATTCTTTGGGGCATAGTGATGATTGTATATTTCTCTGATCTTCTTTTAATGATTCCGGTGTTGCTCAATATTTTGTCCTTATTGTTGTTGTGAAGTGCTGTTGAGTCAGTTCCGACCCATAGTGACCCTGTAGAGGGTTTCCAAGAAATAACTGGTGAGCTTGAACTGCTGACCATAGAATCTTATCATTTTACAAGTCAAAGCTTGAATTTTTTTCACCAGTCCTTCTAGCTTGAGAAATGCTGAGTGTTTTCTTTCCTTTTGGCTTTCTAACTCGAGGTCAATTTTCCTAGATTCATACTTCATTATCATATTTGGCTTTCCCTATTAAATAAGCCCAATAAATTGCTGCCCTGAAGCAGGCTAGCAGAATCACCTCTCCACAAGCAGGAGAGAACGTACACTTTCACAACAGAGACATACAAAAAAGATGAATATAAATGTCTACATTAATTTGTCTTTCATAAATGATTTTTTTTTTTTTTTTAAATCCTGTTTAGATGAAGAAAAACTCCAAAACGTTTTAAAGACTCAAATGCCAAGTCTCAATACTTACAGGGCTTTACACACTTTTTGCAGAGAAAGCAATGGTTCCATTTCCTGCCATCCTACAAAAACAATTTTTAAATTATGTTTACTTTGTCATTTTTTAAATTATTGTCGCATAATTTTTAAATTATGTTTACTTTGTCAGATCTCAAAATTAAAAATTAAAATGGCTTATTAAAATCTGTGTAAATAATTCATTCTTTATTTCTCACTTTTCTGGGCCTCACAATTAAATACTTGGACTTAATTTATGCATTTTTCCATGCAACTCAAACGCCTTCTCGCTGGGCCTCAATTTCCTTAACTGTAAAACTGGAAGATTTATCTCACTGAGTTTGAGTCTGTGTCCAATACAGCAAATCATCTGCACAAAAAAGGACTCAACAAAAATTTCAAAAGAAAGAAGGATCCATAACTTTGTTTCCATATTGTACAATCCTTAATAAAATTCAAATCAGGGAACTTTAACATAAAGATTATCAGTTACCATATGAGCCAATTTTAAGCTAAGACATACAACACATCTCAAAAAGTGCATAAAACATGCACGTCCATCTTAATGAGTACAGTTTGAAGTGCCATAAACACAGTTCTGACTCATAGAGATCCTGTCTAGGGCTTCCGAGGAGCGGCTGGTGGGTTTGAACCACCGACCTTGAGGTTCAAACTGACCTTGTGGTCCAGTGCATTATCCTGCAGCACCACACCAGGACCCTATATAGAATGGGTTTTCCTGTTCTGACGAATTTGTTTAAAGTCGGTTCTGGCATAAACTGAATACCTTCCTCCCCACCATTATTACTACAATAACCTGCTATATGGAAGTGTTTCCATCTGTAAAACACAGCACTAAACACCTGAAAGTGAGCATCTGAGAATTATTATATCAGGAAATTATGCATTGAATTATTGTATGTAGTACAACAAAAAGCTGTTAAAAAAAAATTCCCCAAAACAGACAGTCATAAATGTGGTTCACCATTGTTGTTGTCAGGTGCCATCGAGTCGGAATGAACTCATAGCGACCCCATGCACAGCAGAACTAAAAATGTCCAATCCTGGGCCAACCTCACTACCGCTGCCACACTTGAGTCCATCAATGATGCCACCTGGCCAATCCATCTCGTTAGGGGTCTTCCTCTTTTTCTCTGACCCTCCACCTTACCCAGCATGACATCCTTCTCCAGCGACTGTTTCCTCCTGACAATATGTCCAAAGTATGAGAGACGAAGCTTAGCCATCCTGGCCTCCAAGGAGCACTCTGGCTGTACTTCTTCCAAAACATATCTATTGGTTCTTTTGGCAGTCCATGGTACTTTCAGTATTCTCCTCCAACACCACAACTCAAAGGCATCAATTCTTCTACGATCTTCCTTATTCACTGTCCAGCTTTCGCATCCATATGAGGCTATTGAAAACACCATGGCCTGGGTCAGGCGCACCTTAGTCCTCAAGCTGACATCTCTGCTCTTCAATACTTTAAAAAGTTCCTGTGCAGCAGATTTGCCCATACATAACTTAAATACGTTGTAAATCAGGGACTAGTATAAAATAACATCACTGAAGCCCAACAGGTCAAGAAGCAGACTCCCACCAGCCTCACAGGAGCTTCCCCAGCACCACTCTCCCCAGTCACCACATTATGCCTTCCCCACTCAGAACACATTACCTCGTTGTTGCTAGTGCCATCGAGTCGGTTCTGACTCACAGCAACCTTATGCATACGCTGCCTGTTCCTGGCCCATATGCACAATTGTTAAGCTTGAGCCCACTGCTGTGGCCACTAAGCCAATCCATCTAGTTGGGGGTCTTCCTTCTTTTCACTGACCCTCCACTTTACCAAGTATGATTTCCTTCTCAAGGGACTGGTTCGTTCTGATAATATGTCCAAAGTATGAAAGATGAAGTCTGGCCATCCTGGCTTCTAAGGAGCTTTCTGGCTGTACTTCTTCCAACACAGATTGTTTTGTTCTTTTGGCAGTCCATGGTACTTCCAATATTCTTCTCCAACACTATAACTCAAATGCATCAATTCTTCTACTGTCTTCCTTATTCACTGTCCAGCTTTCACATGTGTATGAAATTACTCAAAACACCTTGCTTGGGTCAGATGTACCTTAGTCCTCAAGCTCACATCTTTGCTCTTCAACACTTATAAAAAGGTCTTGTGCAGCAGATTTGCCTAATGCAATACATCATTTGATTTCTTGGCTGCTGCTTCCTTGAGTGTTGATGGTTGATCTAAGAAAACTAAAATCTTTGACAACTTCAATCTTTTCTCCATTTATCATGATGTCATTTTTTGGTCCAGTTGTGAGAATTTTTGTCTTCTTTACACTGAGGTGCAATCTATACTATACATATATGTGTGTGTGTAGTATTTGTTTTAATGTTCTTTAGCATCAGCATGAATTTGCACATGAGCAACTAATGGTCTGTTCCACAGTCTGCCTTGTCCTCGTTTTGGCTAATGATATGGAGCTTTTCTACAGTCTCTTTCCACAGATGTAGTCAGTTCAATTTCTGTGGAGTCCATCTGGTGAGGTCCACGTGTAGACTCTTTTATGTTGTTTAGAAAAAGTATTTTCAATGAAGAAGTTATTGGTCTTGCAAAATTATTTCCTGCGATCTCCAAAATTGTTTCTATGACCAAGCCTTATTTTCCAACTAAGTATCCTTCTTGTCTGTTTCCAACTTTCACATTCTAATCACTAGTAATTATTAATGTAACTTGATTGCATTCTGATGCATTTCAACTGAAGAAGTGGTCAGAATTCTTCCATTTCACCATCACTGGCTTTACTGGTTCATGTGCACATTTGAGTAGTAGTGGTATAACTGGTATTCCTTGTTTTTGTTGTTATTGTTAGGTGCTTTCAAGTCGGTTCGGTCTCATAGGGACTCTGTATAGTGTTTCCAAGAAGCAGCTAGTGGGTTTAAACCGCCAACCTTGTGGTTATCCATCCAATGCTTTATCCTACAGCACCACACCAGGACTTCTGGTCTTCCTTGTAACACTGAACTACAAGACAGATTTTGAAATGTTCTTTTTGACAATGCATGTGACGCCACTCCACTTGAATTTGTTGTTCTTGGCATAGTAAACCATCCGATTGTCTAATTCAAAATGACCAATATTAGTACAGTTCAGCTTACTAATGCCTAAGATATCCAACTTTATTCATTCCATTTTATTTTTCACAACTTTTAATTTTCCTAGATTCATACTTCATACATTCCATATTTCATTTATTAATGGATAGCTGTAGCTGTTTCTCCTCATTTTGATGTAGTCCTGGTATGTCGCTGTGGGTTAATGCACTGGACTGCAAAGTTGGTTTGAACTGCAATGTTGGCAAGCTGAAGCTCACCAGTCACTCTTCAGAAACCCTATACTGGGTCGCTATGGGTTGGAACTGACTTGAAGGCACTTAACACCCTCATTTTGAGTTGTGTCAAATCAGCAAATGAGGTACTGAAAGTTTAATTCCTTCCACATCATGGTCACTTCTATTTTGAAGAGGCAGCTCTTTCCTACTTGTATTTTGAGTGCCTTCCAACCTGAGGGACTCATCTCCCGGGACTATGTCTGACAATGTTCTGCCACTATTCATAAAGGTTGTCAGAACTGGTCCTCCTCCCCTTCTTCCTATTCTGTCTTAGCCTGGAAGCTGTGCTCAAACCTGCTGGTATAAATTAGTGGAAGTTGTAGTCTAGCTTCCAGCCCCACCGCACCACAAACTCACAGACGAGTGGTGGTTAGAATACCCTGGCATTTGCTTATTGTTACAGCCAATGTGTGCAACCCTACACATGAGAGTTTTATAATTTTATTTTTTCCATTTTCAACTTTAAATGATGTAGGCATAATTTTTAGAAATGATGAGTAGAGATCATTTCTAAACTAATGAAAGTATATGTCATCTGATGTGCTATATAATTATAGACAAGTAAAACCAGTCATAAAATTATATAATTACAAAAAGCCTTTCTAGGAGTCATGTAAATATAAACTTTTATTTGGGGTAAATCTGTGCTGGCACTGCAGATAATGTGCTGGACTGCAAGGTCAATTTGAACCGCAAGGTCAGCAGTTCAAACCTACCAATCGCTCCTCAGAAACCCTATATAGGGTCGCTATAGGTCGGAACTGACTCAAAGGCACTTAACAACAACAACAACAACCAGACTACTCTTCACATGCCTTTTCTGATGAACTTTGGTTAAAAATAAACAAAGCAACTTAAGGATCATCCTATGATCCTGAACAATAAATCAAGAGATATTCCTTGTCTGGAATGGAGTCCTTGGGTGGAAAAACCGTTACTCATGTAACTCCTAACTGGAAGGTTGGTGATTCAAATCCAGCTAGAGGTGCCTCAGAAGAAAGGCTGGGCAATCTGCTTCCCAAAGGTCACTGCCCTGAAAACCCCACTCTGTACACACGTGGCCACCATGAGCCACAACTGACTCAAAAGCAATTGGTATTTCTGTTGTTTCATGTTCCCTGGAGCCTCCTCTCAGGAACACTATGGCTCCAGAGGATAAGCATGGGAATGCTCATCAGTTTGAGCCTACCAGCCACTTCATAGGGCAGAGATGAGGTTTTCTGCTCCCACAAAGACTTCTAGCCTCAGAAACTCTATACAGGGTCACTATGAGTGGGAAGCAGACTTTCACAGCACTTAACAACAACACGCCTTTCCTCATCTGTAGACATCAGAAATAGCTGTGGGGGTCTTGTGCATGGGGGTCTTGTGAGGAGTAAACGAGAAAACTGATGCACAGCTTTCAGGAAAGGGCCTGCCACTCAAACATGCTTAAGGCATGCCATTGTTTCACTGGATCTACGATGGCATCTAGGCGCCTTGTTCCATACGCAGTCAAACTAATGAATGAGTGCCATCCACACTGATGCAAATATGAACAGAACAACAGTACACAAATGTAGCGAAGTGAATAAGCTGAAGCAGAACTAAGAGAGAAGTATTCTCCTGGAGACCGATACCTTGGAGGTGCACGAGTCACAGTGCTCACAGTGCTGATTCTCCATAGACACGTACCGTTGGCACAGAGGGCAAAACCTAGAGGAAAGGGAAGCATGGAGAGAAACCAGCTACATGTAATTAATTCATGAGACTGACAGAGGAGCTGCAAGTTTACAAGACACCTGTCACAAAACTGGGTGTGCTCTAAATTCAAGTCCATATAAAATAATGCCCCAAACTGAAAATGAATACAAGAAATCAATGAGTCACCATTAAAAGTATTTTACTTTTAGAGATATTGATCTTATTTTTATTTTCCTTTTATAGTAATATTGTGTGTGTTTTGGGTGAAGTTTTGCGGGTTTACGTATCAGCTAGGCTCCCCTTCGAAAATCTCTATACAAGTTGTTCAGTGACATTGGTTCCATTCTTTAGACTGAGAGAACATTCTCGTCACTTCCCTCCTGGTTGTTCCATTCTGGGTCTTTATGTTCAGTGACTCCTATATATCAAAGTCCCACCGGGATCTTACCTGTACCCTTCTTCAGTAGGAAGGACTATTTTATTAGGTGGAATGTTAGTGAAAATTCGCACTGGAGATTGTTTCCGACCCGTCTTTCCATGTTTATAAAGTGTATGATTATCATAATCTACCTAGAAAGTTAGAGAAAAAAATAAAAATGCAAAAACAAAATGTAGTCAAATGAGTCAACCCTCATTAAGATCCTTTCACCAAAACATGAACAAGCTAATGCCAAGGTGCAGATTAAGCCAAGAGATTTCACAAGAAATCCTTAAAGACAGAGTCTGCTTCTTAATCAGCTTCTTGGCAATGACATTTTATTACACAAAAGGTATCACTGATTAGATTTTATTACACAAAAGGTGTCATTGATTATGAAAAATTTATGTTGCCTGGAATTAAGGGAACAATCCTAATCTTCTGTTCAACAATAAATGTAGATCAAATAGCTCTGACCATTAAATTAAGCTTTATAACTCAGTGACCCTATATATACATACCTGAGAATGCAGCTTTTGACATTTAAAAATCCTTTTAAAGTTAAAGGTGTATGCAAGCCTGGTTGGAGCTTTCTGTCTGCTTCGTTGGCCAAGTTCTAAGGCCAGCTTTGGGTGGCCCCCACTCACTGCCAGTCATCTTACATACCAGGAAGGAAGCACAGGGTTGGTTGGGTGCCTACCAGTGCTGTTACACCCTTGTTATGCAATCTTAGGCCTGTCGACGTAATTTTTATCTCCAAATGGAGGTTCCTGAGGGCTCAGTGAAATGAGACAACACAAGCGTGGAAAACACTTAGAGAACATATTGGCATAGAGAACAGATTGAGTGGAAGCCAGAGATGCACAACTCTCTTTGTTCTACTCACGGGCATTAGTGAGCTGAAAGGGGCACTGGTAGCATAGTGGTTAGGCATTGGGCTGCTAACTGCAAGGTCAGACGTTCGAATCTCCCAGCTGCTGCATCAGAGAAAGATGATGGTTTTTGTTCCCATAAAGATTTACAGGTTTGGAAATCCTACACAAGTTCACTATAAGTCAAAACTGGCTCGACAGCACACCACCACCACCAGCACCGGCAAGCTGAAATGGACTGGTATTGGCCATTTTGAATCTGACAGTCATACTAGGCCAAGAATGAAAAATGAAAGCAGAATGGTTTTGCAGTCATCATTAAAAAGATCTACCTTGAAATACAATCCTGTCTGTGACAGGATAACATCTGTATGCCAAGAAGGAACATCACTTTAACACCATTTTATTCAAACTTACACACCATCCACTAAAATCAGTGCTTATGAAACTCATGAAATGCTGCCACCTTAAGTTTGAAATTGATCAAATATGCAACAAAGATATATCGATAATTACTGGTGACTGGAATACGAAGGTTGAAAACTAAGAGAAAGGGTCAATTGTTAGAACATCCATATTTGGTCATACTTAGAAACGATGTTGACAATTACATGATAGAATTCTGTAAGATCAATGACTTTTTCATTGTAAATACCTTTTTAAACAACATAAAAGATGACTCTACATGTGGACCTCACCAGATGGAAGACACAGAAATCAAACTGACTACATCTGTGGAAAGAGACGATGGCAAAGCTCCATATCATCAGTAAAACAATGCCGGGGTAGAGTGTGGAACAGACCATCAATTGCTCATATGCAAGTTCAGGCTGAAGCTGAAGAAAATGAAAACAAGTCCATCAGAACCAAAGTATGACCTTGGACATATCCCACCTGACTTTAGAGACTATAACACGACCAGATTTGATGCAATAGACACTAATGACCAAATACCAGAAGAGCTGTGGGACCACATCAAAAGTATCATACATGTTGAAAGCAGAAATGTCATTAAAAAGGCATGAAAGAAAGAGAAGATCAAAATGGATGTCAAAAAAGACTCTGAAATATGATCTCCAAAGTAGAGAAGCTAAAGTGAATGAAAGAAATGAGGAAGTCCAAGAGCTGAACAGAGTATTTCAAAAGGCAGCTCGAGAAGTCTGCTTTACTACAAACTGATGCATTGAAGGAACTGGTGAAAAACAAGGCATCAGGAGTTGATGGAATAAAAATTGAAATCTTTCAAGAAAGTGAGGCTGCACTGGAGGCACTCACTCATCTCTGCCAAGAAATTTGGAAGACAACTATCTGGCCGACTGAATGGAAGAAATCCACATTTGTGCCAATCCCAAAGAGAGGTGACCCAATGGAATGCGGAAATCATCAGACAATATATTTGATATCCCATAAGAGTAAAGTTTTACTAAAGGTAATACAGAAATGGCTGCAAGCATACATTGACAGAACTTCCAGAGGTTCAAGCCAGATTCAGAAGAGAACGTGGAACGAGGGATATCACTGCTGCTGTCTTGTGGATCTTGGTTGAAAGCAGAGAATATCAGAAAGATGTTTCCCTGTGCTTTATTGACTACACAAAGGCTTTCGGTTGTGTGGATCATGACCAGTTATGGACATTGCGAAGTATGAGTATTCCGGAACACTTAATTGTGCTCATGAGGAATCTGTATGTGGACCAAGAAGCAGTTGTTTGACTAGAACATGGGAACACTGAATATTTTAAAATTAAGAAAGGTGTGCAAAAGAGTTGTATTCTTTTACCATATTTATTCAACCTGTATGCTAAGCAAATAATCCGAGAAGTTGGGTTCTATGAAGAAAAACGTGGCATCAGAATTGGAGGAAAACTCAGTAACAACCTGCAATATGCAGATGATGCAACCTTCCTTGGTGAAAGTGAAGAGGACTTAAAATACTTATGAAGATCAAAGACCACAGCCTTTCATATAGATTGCACCTCAATGTAAAGAGAACAAAAATCCTCACCACTGGACCAATTAACAACATTCTGATCAACAGAGATAAGATTGAAGTTGTCAAGGACTTCATTCTTCTTGGATCAACTATCAACAGTCACGGAAGCAGCAGTCAAGAAATCAAATGACGTATTACATTAGGCAAATCTGCTGCACAAGACCTTTTTAAAATGTTGAAGAGCAAAGGTGTCAGCTTGAGGACTAAGGTGCGCCTGACCCAAGCCATGGTATTTTCAATAACCTCATATGCATGCGAAAGCTGGACACTGAATAGTAAGGAAGACCGTAGAAGATTTGATGCTTTTGAGCTATGGTGTTGGATGAGAATATTGAAAGTGCAATGGGCTGCCAAAAGAACCAAGAGATCTGTGTTGGATGAAGTACAGCCAGAGTGCTCCTTGGAGGCCAGGATGGCCAGACTTAGTCTCTCATACTTCAGACACATTGTCTGGAGGGACCAGTTGCTGGAGAATATCATGTTTGGTAGGGTGGAGGGTCAGAGAAAAAGAGGAAGACCCCCAGTGAGATGGATTGGCAAAGTGGCAGCATCAATGGGCTCAAGAATGGCAACAATAGTGAGGTTGGCCCAGGACCGGGCAGTGTTTTCGTTCTGTTGTGCATAGGGTCGATATGAGTCAGTACCAACTCGATGGCACCCAACAACAACAACAACACATCCTTAAAGACCCTTTGAGTTAGTTCTACTGCGTCCTCTATGTGTTGGGGGCTCTATGTGTTGGAATTAACTCCCTGGCAGCAGGTTTGGGTTTAGATATTAAAGACTAATACACAAAAATGGATTTACTTTAAAATCTCCTCAAAATTTTACCTTACGGTTCTTTTAAAGGAGTCCTGGTGTGGTGCTGTGGTTTATGTGTTGGACTACAAAGTCGACTGAACCGCGAAGTCAGCTGTTCAAGCTCCTCAGAAACCCTACACAGGGTCACTATGAGTTGGAACCGACTCAGCAGCACTTAACAACAACATTCTTTTAAAATCATTTAGATTCATAATTTCTCCTAACACATGCCTCATGTATTTAATAAATGTGACCTTATTAAATTAACAAAGATGTTTTAAATATTTATGAGTATCTTAAAAAAAATTCTTCATAATAATATTTTACAAAGGTTTTCATATGTTGGGAAATAATACTTGGGAAGATTTCTAGTACATCGAATATTCCATGTAGTATTACAGATAGCAGATGGAAAACAGAAAAAAAGAACCATTTCTTTATGGTTACCCAAAGAGTGAGAGCATGGATCTGTCAGAAGGTGGTTGATTGCTTGATTTTGCATAACTTAATTGAGATTATTATTATTTCTAAATGCGGGTTTGTTTTACCTGTGTAAGCTAATTAACTATAAACATATGGTATGTGAAATGCATGCTTCTCAGGTAAATTATGTACCGTGAACATGCATCCATATTTCATAGCTTCATCCACACAAATAAACCTCCTATGGAAGTGCTATAAAGCAAACACAATTTTGCAAATTGCATATCACTAGTGGTGGAGCTGGTACCCCATTTTCCCGTCATTATCCCTGACATTTTACTCACAATGATGATGAGAGGCATTTTCAAAGAGGAAATTTCTCCCATGGAACTGATTAATGTGATGAAGTACTGTATAGAAATGAGGGACAGCATAAAACCTCTGCAATTCCTACCTTTTCCTTTTACCTCTACACAAATGTCATCTGTACACGAGACAGAAACCAGTTACACAGAGGCCAATCCACTCGAGTCAGCAAACATTGACGTGTATTTTGCACCTACTATGTTCCTTCCAGGTCAGACCCGACTCGACAGCACTTAACAACAACAACAACAACAACAAATATTTCTTCTGGAGTCCTAGTGTGGCGCTGTGGGCTTAATGTGCTGGACCGCAAAGTGGGTTTGAACTACCAGGCTGCCAGTTTACCAGCTGCTCCTTGGAAACCCTATACAGGGTCGCTATGGGTCGGAACATACTCGAAGGCACTTAACAACAACAACAACAACAAATGTTCCTTCCAGGCATTGAGCTGGGAAACCAAGATGGAACAAGTCAGAGCACTTGCATTTTCTTAACTCCCTAAGGATTGAATTCAATTTCATTTCAGTGGATTCCAAAGGTCCCAAGTGCATGCTTTAGCTCCATCAATGCATTTCGAGCAAAGCAATCAGGTCTTTTAGGCATATCCCCAGGTCCCATGAAGCTTCACATTTAACATCACTGGGTACACCCATCTCTCTTGTCACTCTAAACCCATTCAGTGGCTTATGCTCATTCAA